CACACACACACACACACACACACACACACGCAGTGTGAGCCCAGGCTGGTGAAGGAAGACACTGTCAGTGTCACTCAGAATGGTAATGAAGGTGTCAATCACAAATGTTAGTCCCACTGGTGTGATGGGCCCTGACCATACAGCTCTGAATTATCAGAAGGTAATTGGAGTTGTATACATAAACATGGTTCCTTCCTTTCTTTCCAACATACACATAACTCTGTCAAACCTAACACAGGACAGCACTCTTTAAAAGTAGATTGTATTTTTGTGACTAAACACATTTAATTTCACAAATGKACTATGTAAAGTGCAGAATCATTAAAAGTGCCACTTTACATTCAAAATACAACCACAATTCCAACTAGAGAATGTGTTTTTGTTTGTTTGCTTGGTTTTTTGTAAAAAAATAAACAAATAATAAAAAGACTGTGCATTGAAAATGCATCATGGCATTGCCTGAAGCATGAAGTCTTCAAACAACACAGCTAAAATCAACTGCCACTGGCTCCACGATAATAATAAAGAGTTAAATATTGCACTAAACCCACCATTATATAAAAACAAACAACAAAACAAATATAATATAATTTGACATAAAATTAGACCAATAAATAATACAAAATAGCCATTTGTTGTGCTTCAGTTAAGTCCACTAAGTCGAAACGTGTTTTAGGATGCTATACAGTCACCATGCACTCGTGCCTGAGATCTGAGCATGTTTGTATTGAGGTTAAATAGGTCAGATGCAAGCACATACTTTTCAAAATATATACGTATTTTCATATAAATAATTTCTCTTACTTGTTCAACATTTGAGATGAGCAAGGTGGGACTTGAACCCAAATCATCTAAGTCATAGCCATAAACTTCTTGTCTAGGCCAATTGTACAGTGAGCTTACAGACTATTTTTTTAATGTGAGAACTGAACACTTTTACCCAGCATCCTGTGCAGCTTTAATGTCATGTTGTGCTCACCATGACAAAGAGAGCTGGTATTCAGTTTCACTACCCTTTCCTGCCTCGACTGCTATGATTACCATCTTAATACTGTATGTCAGTCAACATGGAAGTTTGAGTGGAAAAGTAAGTAAAACAACATGCAACTATTTGAAATGTTTTGTAATAAATACATTATTTGTAGGAATCTAAAAATACAAACAAAATAAAAAAAATAAATAAAAATGAATGAAGATTTAAACCATTTTAACAAATACAAGCTTTTTTAAAATGC